GGGGTGGGGGGTCTTGGTTGACCCCATGTTTCTTGGGGGGTTTGTTGCAGGAACAGGCAGCCGTTTTTATGATCAGGTTTGGCTGGAACGAGCGCCGGCTGTGGTGGCGATGCACCCCACACACCCCATCCAGGAGGTGCAAAATGCGCCATTGGCTCGAACAGCAACGGAACTATCCAACCACCACCACTGCCACCAACACAGTGACGATCGAGGCTTTGTATGATACAAGTGCAGCGGTCAAGGGCGTTTGGGCACGTGCCGCATCGTCCTTACTTGGCCAAGAAGGAAATGGGGGGCTGTCCCTCCGTCTCCAGGGTTATCTGCAGCAGGGAATGAGTGGGACATCTGTGGTCAAATCCGTTCGGAGCTCGTCGTTGTGCTGGGAATCTGAGGGGCCGGCAAGACAGCCAGGCTTGTATGCGCTGCTGATCTAAAACGCCAGCCCTTGCGATGTTTGGCGGGGCCGCTCTGTGCAGCACCCATGGCGCCGCAACGCGGCGACGCATCACCGGCACGCACATTCGCACAAGTCCAAGCTTCCGCGTAATATCTACATCCTGCTTCAGCCAACCCCCTTGGTGGTCCTGTACGCCCTCGCGCCTAGCACCCCTTCAAGCCTCACTATCCAGCGTTGGCTGATAGCGCGGATGGTGCCCCCTTTTAAATGACCATGATCGCAGGCTGCCCAGCCACCCTGGCTGGAAAAGGCGCCTCGCCCCGCTCTTGTTGCCACGCCTTGCCCCAGCCCGCCACGCACACCTGCCCAATGAAAACGTCCCCGATTGTCGTCAGCGGCGCCGGGAGGCCGAGGAGCGGCCCTGGCGCCTCGACCACAATCGCGCCAGGGTGGACGCCTTTGGGGACGCGCAGCTGGGCCCTCCTGACCTGCGAAACGCCGTGTGCAGACGGATCAAGGCCCCGTCGTTTCAGCGTGAGGGTGCCAGCAGCGCTCGGGCGTAAGGGTGGCGGCGGGCGGTGGCAATGGCAGGCAGGGGGTTGCGCGCCGTATGCAGCCGGCGTGGGCAAGCCGCAGCCCCTGCCCGGCACGCAGCTGCCAAGCAGCGGCGGCAGCAAGCACCCCCTTCCCCTGCCTGCTGTTGTGTATCCAGGGTCCGGGCCCGGCGCCCATGTGCCGCCCTCGCTGCTCCCAAGCACCGCCCGCAGCACGCCCACGAGGAACCCTGCACGCGCTCCTACTGCTGCTCGCGCCAGCAGTTCCCGCCGCTGTGTATGCAAGGCCAGGCTTGCCAGAGGTTCTGGGCCTCAGGCTTGCCTTGTTGGGAGCGCCGGGCAGGGCGTCTTTAACCTCTGTGTCTGCCAGATCTTCAAGGAGATCTTCCAGCAGAGATCCGTTGCCGCGGTCGTACGTCTTGCCTGCAGGCCGCGCGATTTTGAGGGGGGCAGGGCGTGCGCGCGTTAGATGTAAACGTGCGCGCGTTTGCGGATGGGGAGGGCTTGATGCACCATTCGCGCATGGGAGTCAGCGTGTTCCGTGCGCCGCACGCAGACATCACACGCGCACGCTTTGCTCAGCTCAATGGTGGCTGAAGCATGCAGCAGCTTCAGGGCACAAACAGAGGCGGAGCACAAAGGATTGAGGCGCCGCGTGTGTGTGTGTGTGTGTGTGTGTGTGTGTGTGTGTGTGTGTGTGTGCGCGCGCGCGTGTGTTTTGACATGGGGCAGTTGGGGAAAGGA